GTGCGGATGAAAAATAAACGAGGTTGAACTTGCTGTCTTTGCTGGTTGAGAATACCTTCGGGAAAGTAAGACTAAATTACATTAACCCTAAATCTGAGGCATAGTCACATGGTTGCTGAAAAATTCGACTACTAGTCCTTCATAACCTGAAGATAATTTGGATGGATACAGTTCTTATAACAAGTATACTGGTATTTCTCAAAAATTAATTACAAAACTGAAAATCTTACCAATTTTATGATAGACTTAAACAAGTAATATTTCATAATTTCAGAAGCCTTCATTTAGTGTATACCAACATACCTTGTTCAACCATATATTAAATAGTCATAAGTTTATACTTCTAATCTAAAGTATCATTTTGTATTTTTTTTGAATGTCCACATAAAGCTAGTTAACTACCTTACAAACGATCTCACATCCTACGTATATTTAAAATTTTGTAAACTGTGGCAATTTAATCAAAATTTATTTTGAATTATTTGGTTTTTTGTAATAGTATATTAAATTGTAACATTATCTATATAGTTTGAACGTGTGCGCTTTCCCTTCCTTGTCTGGCCCGCTCTTTATATTTTGTAATTTTCCTTAATATGTGCCCTAAATATTCGAGCCTAAATATCCGCGTAGTAGTGCCCTGCAGGTATTTTCATTAAAGCCTAACCCTTTAGGCCATTAAATAAATATGAAGAAAGTAAGGGTTTCACTACTGCGGTACACTGCACAAACGACGGAAAAGTAGTTATCTCAGATAGATCTGGAACTAATACCTACTATTTCGACAGTCTTTGGCACTTTTTTAAAACAAAATGGGGTCTACAAATCGATTCTGGCTCCCTTTGTTGAAGAAATGCTTCGAGGGTACAATTGCACGATTTTTGCGTAGGTTCTTTCTCGTACAGAGCCTTATTTTAATATTTTGTCTTGCTTAAACTCATATTACCTGGTTTGATAAGATTTCACATTTCATTTCATCTACATTGATAACTTATTTGATTCTTTTGTTCATATTACGATTTGCTGATCAAATTGTCATCCTCATTCCAACTACTCATTT